CCGGCTAATTTTTAAAATTTTTTCATTATGGAGGTGAGGTCTTGCCAAGTTGTCCAGGCTGTTTTTGAACCCATAGGCTCAGGCAATCTGCTCACCTCGGCCTCCCAAAGTGCTGGGATTACAGGCTTGAGCCACCATGCCCAGCCAGAAGTGTTTTCAATGAAATCATATATATTTTAAATTTTTCAGGGATTTTAAGATTTAAGTTTACTTATTTAGTGATTTTTAAAAAATCTGTAAAGGCTAATAATAGAATTATGAGCCCATCACAGGACTATTTTTTTCCTCTGATCAAAGAACTTTAACTTAGTACAGTTACCTAGATTTCTAAGCCCTAGGTTTTGTTGCTGTTTTTGTTTTTGAAAGAGTTGAATTGGCACTTTAGTATGCCTTAGAAAATTTGTCTAACAAGGTATAGGAGCTTGTATTTACTAAACATCGAAGAATATAAGATTTCCAGACGGCATTGTCATTTACATGGCATAAGATATGGGAGCCCTCGGTGGCTCAGCCTGTAATCCCGCGCCTTTGGGAGGCCGAGGTGAGGGGATGGCCTGAGCCAAAGGGGTTCGAGAATAGCCCAGGCAACTTGGCAAGCCCTCATCTCTACAATCAATAAAAAAATTAGCCAGGCATGGTAGCACGTGCCTGTAGTTCCAGCTACTTGGAAGGCTGAGGCGGAAGGATCGCCGGAGCCCAGCGGGTCGAGGCTGCGGTGGCCGGGAGCGGCCGCTGCATTCTGGTCTGGGCGACAGTGAGACTCCAACTCAAAAAAAAAAAGACTTAGGAATTAGCTTCATATTAGACTGTTGAAAAATTTATGTAAAAACACTCGCTAACTGTAGCAATAAATTATTAAGTGCCATTATTAAGTGAATGAAGGCGCATATGTTAGTATTTCTGTCAAGACTTATTTTCAGAATATTGGTATTTTGACGATCATTTTTGCAGGTAGATTTTTCAAGGCATAACACTCAGAAGTTTACTGTTTATTCACATATATTCATGTAGTTTTTAAACTTTTGCCTAGCTTCCCTCCCTATACTTTTTTTTCCTTCCTTCCTTCCTTTCCTCTTTCTCTTTTCTTTCTTTCCTTGTAGGAGTCTCACTCTGTTGTCCAGGCTGGAGTGCTGTGGCACGCTCATGGCTACCAAAGTCTCGGCCTGCTGGGCTCAGGTGATCTTTCTGCCTCAACCTTCCAAGTAGCTGGAACTACAGTCATGTGCCACCATGCCGGGCGAATTGTTTGATTTATTATAGAGACAAGGTCTCCAACGCCTGGACTCAGGCAGCCCTCTCGCCTCTGCCTCCCAAAGTGCTAGGTTGCGGGCATAAGCCACTGTGCCGGGGCCTTCATTTTCTAGTTAGAGGAAAAATGGTTGCATTTTCTTTCTTTTTCAAATATATTACTGTTTATAATTTTATCTCATGCAAAAAGTTATTTCATGACATTTTGTTTTAAATGATCAGTCTTTCTAGTTATATCTTTATTTTTTATTTTTATTTTTGAGTTGGAGTCTCAGTCTGTCGCCCAGACTGGAGGGCAGCGGCCGCTCCCGGCCACCACAGCCTGGACCCACTGGGCCCGACGATCCTTCTGCCTCGGCCTTCTGAGTAGCCGGAATTACAGGCACGCACTGCCATGCCCGGCTGATTTTTTGAATTTTTGATTGTAAAGATGAGGTCTCGCCAAGTTGCCCAGGCGGGTCTCGAACCCGCAGGCTCAGTCAATCCACTCACCTTGGCCTTCCAAAGCGTGGGATTGTAGGCTGAGCCACCAAGCCCGGCTCTAGGCTGGTCTTGAACCCATGAGCTTAGGCAGTCCTCTTGCCTTGGCCTCCCAAAGTGCTGGTATTATAGGCTTGAGCCACTGTGCCCAGCCTAGTTATATCTTTAATAAGTGAAGTATGTCTTTTATTTTATAGATTACTGTTTAAAACAAATATCTCTTTCTGGTTGCTTTAAATTTTAAAAAATAATTTTATCAGAATAAATATGCTAATTGGTTTCCTGAGTAGTGATGTTATAGTTAAATTTTTAAAAATATGCCTGTGAAACTGAGTATTTGAAATGTTCTATTTCATGTATATAATGAATTACTGAACTCCAATTATATCAGGTACTATCTCAGCACTAGGGAAAAACAGGGAAGGTAACACACACAGTTCCCTGACCTCATGGAGTTTTCATTCTGGTGGGGGGACCCAAACCACAAAAAGTAAATGGCAGACAATGTTCAGGTACCGCCACAAGTGTCTCCTGGTGCCAGCCGGAACTCCTTGGCAGAGGACTGACTGACTGGACTGTCAGCTATCCGCTAGGCTTCCAAGAGAGGATGACTGGGCCAGGCACAGTGGGATGCACTGGTTCCCCCCTTGGAAGGGGACCATCCTGCTGGCTGTCCACATACACTGGAACTTCAGGGGATCCCCGGCCATAGCACTGGGGGCTTTAGCTGCTCACTGGGGAAAAGCACCTTGCAACTGGACACCAGCTGTGCTGATAGCACTTGAGACCTAATGACAGTGCAAGGTTGTACTCCGCTTCTTGCACTGGAGATTCTGGAGCCGTTGGTCCCAGCTAGCTCCTGCAGCCAACCCAGAGTGCTCTACCCCAGGATCGTTCAGTGGGCCATCTATTTGTCTCTCTACACTCTGCCCCCTGACCCAGGAGCCTAATTAAACGTAAGACTTTCCATCCGTGACATGCATCAAAGGTCTGTTCATATCAAATATTGGAAGAAAGAGAGGACTGTTCATCCCTTGACCTCTTCCACAGACTTCTGGCGTTGGTTATGTTTATTTCCTGCCAATCAGGGCCTGCTTTCTCCCTCTGGAAGGAACCAAATTGCCTGTCCCTTTTTTTTTTTTTTTGAGTTGGAGTCTCACTCTGTCGCCCAGACTGGAGTGCGGCGGCCGCTCCCGGCCCCCGCAGCCTCGACCCGCCGGGCTCCGGCGACCCTTCCGCCTCCGCCTTCCGAGCAGCCGGAATTACAGGCATCGCTACCACGCCCGGCTGATGTTTTGATTGATTGTCGAGCTGAGGTCTCGCTGCCCAGGCGGGTCTCGAGCCCGCGCTCAGGCCATCCACTCCCCTCAGCCTCCCCCAGGCGCGGGACAGGCTGAGCCACCGAGCCCGGCGCCTGTCCTTTCCCAGTGTTAAGCTTCACACGTACTCAGTAGACTCTTTTCTCCATCACGAGGAGCTTCCAGAGCCAGAGGAGGACGACCGAGGGATCCGGAGCACATTCCTCCTCGTGGCGTTGTCTAGGAATAGCGGTGATCACCGTGATGCAACCACACTGTTTGGTCCGTCTGGGCGGCCTCATAGGACACCCTGGACGCGGTGACTCACAAATAAAAGTCAGGTTTTCCCCTCACAGTTCTGGAGCCTGGAAGTTCAACATCAAGGTGCCATAGATCAGGTGTCTGGCGAGAAGCTTGCTTCTGGATTCGTGAGCAGCACTCGACAGATGAGGTGAACAAGCTCTCTAGGTTTCCTTGATAAGGGCACTACTCTCATTCATGAGGGGCGTGCCCCCACGACTTAATCGCCTTCCAAAGACCCTGCTTCCTCTTGCCTTTGCCTTCAGGGTGAGGATTTCAGCATACAAATTTGGGGGGGCCACAAACATTCAGACCATAACACTGACTATCATATCATGTTGATGAACTTAAGCTGGACCCAAAGGAATGTCAGTCACAGTTTAGTCAAAAAGTTTATTGGAGCCGGGCTCGCTGTCTCAGCCTGTAATCCCACACTTTGGGAGGCCGAGGTGAGTGGATTGCCTCAGCCTGCGGGTTCGGGACCTGCCTGGGCAACTTGGCGAGACCTCATCTCTACAATAATTCAGAAAATTAGTCGGGCGTGGTGGTGCGCACCTGTAGTTTCAGGTGTGGCGGAAGGATCGCTGGAGCCCAGCAGGTTGAGGGTGCAGTGGCCGGGAGTGGCCACTGCCTTCCAGTCTGGGCGACAGTGAGACTCCAACTCACAAAAAAAAAAAAAAAAAAAAAAGAAGTCTATTGGGCTTCAGTATCCCCCCTGGGGCCTCCTTAAAAGATCATTGTCTTCTATCAATGACTATGGGGTTTGCTCTGCTATTTTTACTTCATTTCCACTTGAATTATATTTCAGCAATCTCAGGTCCATTCTGGTGTATACATTAACCCATAATTTCTATTTTGTTTGCTTGATTTTGAGTACCATAGTTTGTTAGTTATTGTTTTACACTATCAGTGTTCATGTCAGCAGGTAGCAGGTGTAGGGTTGCAATGCATGTGTTAGGTGAGTCAGGAAAGGCTTTAGAGAGTAGGAGCATTTGAGGTAAGTTTTGGAGAGCAGAGAAGCAGGGAAGAAAGATATTGTTGACCATGTGTCATGGAAAAATAAAAGGTTGTGGTGTGTTCAGGCAATGGCTAGAAGTTTGGGGTGCCTAAGAGTACATAAGAATTGTACATCTGGGCAACCCCTTCGGGTCTCCTCCCACTGTGGGAGCTTTTCTGTTCTCTAAATAAATCCTACTTTCAAAAAAAAAAAAAAAAAAAAAGAATTGTACACCTGGGAAGATAGTTCAGGAGAGGAGTGTTGAAGCAGTTACTTAAGAATCTTATAAGGCTTTTCCTATTTTAGAGGTGGAAATACAGCAGGTATTATAACTATTATTTATTTTTATATATACTGACAATAATGATTAGATTTTTCATTTGTATGTTTTTAAGTAATTTCCTTCCATCTAATTTTATCCTAATGATGTCTGAGTGACACAGCTCTGAAAATATTATAGTATCTTAATTTTAAAGATAAATCTTATAGATTCTATAGTATTCTAATTTCTATAGATAAAGAAACTGAGGTATGGGGAACGTACGTGATTTACCAGTCATATGGCCATAGTTAGAGCAGTGGCAGATCTGCTTTTTAGTTCCATATTCTTGTTGGACTTTATTTGTGTGTATATATGCTTTTTGTTTTTTTGCTCCTCAAATTATTGTTTTCCTTTACTGCACAGGAGTTGGCTTTTACCCTGGAAGAGAGACAGCAGTTGGACATTCATGGATTGCTGCCACCTTGCTTCATTAGTCAGGAGCTCCAGGTCCTCAGAGTAGTTAAAAATTTTGAGCGTCTGAACTCTGACTTTGACAGGTAACACACTACTGAAGATGATTTTTATTTTTCTCTTATGTATTTATCTAGTTTTTTTTTTGCTGGATGAGAAAACTAAAATATATGTTTTAAAATTCTTTTTAAATTATAAAAATGTAAGGTACAATTCAGGGTTAGGTTTACAAATGTTGATTATGCAGGTACCCCTTGTTGATGAGGTATGCCTCTCCCTCCCCTAGCAGTTTCCCTCAACTGCCAATCCCACCCTCTTACCCTGACAGTTTCCCACTACTGCCAATTCCTTTCTTATAATAATTGTTCAAGGTCTGTTTATGAGTGAAAACATATGTTCTTTGTTTCTGTGATAGCTACTGAGTATGATCAACTCCAAATCAATCCAAGATGCTGTGAAGTCCATATGTTTGTCCTTCTTTATGGCTGCATAATATTCCACTGTGTACATGTACCACATTTTTTTTTTTTTTTGAGCCGGAGTCTCACTCTGTCGCCCAGGCTGGAGTGCAGTGTCATGCTCCCAACCACTGCGGCCTCGACCTGCTGGGCTCTGGCGATCCTTCCGCCTCAGCCTTCGAAGTAGCTGGAACTATAGGCATGTGCTACCACGCGTGGCTAGGTTTTTTTTTTTTTTTTTTTTTTATAAAGATGAGGTCTCACCAAGTTGCCCGGATGGGTCTCCAGCCCACGGCCTCAGGCAATCCTCTTGCCTTGGCCTCCCAAAGTGCTGGGATTATAGGCTGAGCCACTGAGCCCCGCCACCACATTTTTTTTTTTTTTTGAGTTGGAGTCTTACTCTGTCGCTCAGACTGGAGTGCAGTGGCCGCTCCTGGCCACCTCAGCCTTGCCTGCTGGGCTCAGCGATTCCTCCGCCTCAGCCTTCCAAGTAGCTGGAACTACAGGCGCACGCTACCACACCCGGCTAACTTTTGGTTTATTGTAGAGATGAAGTCTCGCCAAGTTCCCCAGGCGGGTCTCGAACCCCTGGGCTCAGGCAATCCACTCACCTCAGCCTCCCAAAGGCGCAGGATTACAGGCTGAGCCACCGAGCCCGGCCACCACATTTTTTTAATCCAGTCCAGTTTCATGGTTGGTTCCATGTTTTTGCTCTTATGAATAGAGCTGCAACAAACATATGTGTGCAGATATCTTTTGTAGAATGATTTGGGTTCCTCTGGGTATATTCCCAATAGGGTCATGTGGAAGGTCAATTTCTAGTTGTTTCAGAAATCGCCACACTGTTTTCCAAAGAGGTTGCGCTAGTTTGCATTCCCACCAGCAGTGTAGAAGCATTTCCTTTTCTCCACATCCTTGCCAGCATCTGTTGTTGTTTGTTTTATTAATGATGACCATTCTTACTGGGGTTAGGTGGTATCTCAATGTGGTTTTGATTTGCATTTCTCTGATGATGAGTGAGGCTGAGCACTGTTTCGTGTGTTTGTTGGCTGCCCATATATCTTCTTTTGAGAAGTGTCAGTTCATATCTTTTGCCCGCTTTTTAATGGAGCTGTTTTTTTCCTTTGGTGTGTTTGAGTCCCTTGTAGATCCTAGATGTAAGGCCATTGTCAGATACACAGTTGAGAAATATTATTTCCCATTCTGTGGACTGTCTCCCTGCTCTCTTGATGGTTTCTTTTGCTTTGCAGAAGCACTAACTATTTTGAGGTATGTTCTTTATATACCTAGGTGTTTGAGAGGTTTTATCAAGATGGGATACTGGATTTTATCAATAGCTTTTCCTGCATCTAATGATATAATCATGTGGTTTTTACATCTGTTGATATAATTAATTACATTTATGGTCTTGTGAATGATGAACCAGCCCTGCATCCTGGGGATGAAGCCTACTTGGTCATGGTGGATGATTTTTTGAGATGTGTTTTAGATCCGATTTACTAGAATCTTATTGAGGATTTTTGCCTCTGTGTTCATAAGGGTTATTGGCCTGTAGTTCTCTTTTTTTTGTTGGCTCTTTTCCCAGTTTGGGTATCAGTGTGATGCTAGCTTCGTAAAATGATTTGAGGAGAATTCCATTCTTCTCAATTGCCTGGAATACTTTAAATAGGATTGGTATCAGCTCCTCCTTGTACGTTTTCTAGAATTCTGCTGGAAAGCCATCTAGTCCAGGGCTTTTTTTTGTAGGTGGTTTTCGTATGACGGAGTCAATTTCCTGGGTTGTTATTGGTCTATTTAGTGTCTCAATGTCTTTTTGTTTCAACCTGGGGAGGTTGTGTGATGTTAGAAAGTTCTCCATTTCATTTAGGTTATGAGGTTTGTTTCCAAGTAGGTGTACATAGTAATCTCTGATAATCTTTTGTATTTCTTTGGGGTCAGTTGTGATTTGATCTTTTGAATTTCTGATTGTGTTTATTTGGGCTTTTTCTCTATTTTTCTCGATCATTTGGTCCATCAATCTTGTTAATTCTTTCAAAGAACCAGCTTTTTGTTTTGTTTATGTTTTCTATGATATTTTTGTCTCCTGTGTCCCCTATTTGGGCTCTGATTTTGGTGATTTGGATTCTTCTGCTAAAGCTGGGGGTTTGGTGGACTTCTCTTTCCAGCTCCCTTAGGCGGTTTGTTAGGCTCTCCACTTGTGATCTTCCATTTGCTTGATGTGTGCTCGTAGGGATATAAATTCCCCTCTGAGAACGGATTTCATGGCACCCCAGAGATTTTGATAAGATGTTTCTTCATTTTTATTTGTTTCCAGAAATCTTTTGATTTCTGCTTTGATTGCAGTGTTGAACCAGTAGTTGTTCAGCATCATGCTCTTTAGTCTCCATGTATTTTTGGCCTTGGGGATATTTTGTTGGCAGTGATATTTATTTTTATTCCACTGTGGTCTGAGAATGTGCATGGCAAGGTGTCAACCTTGTGGAATTTTTTATGTTTGATATGGCCAAGGATGTGATCGACGTTGGAGTACATTCCATGTGGTGGTGAGTAGAATGTATTTTCTGTAGTTGTTTGGTGGAATATCTGTAGTTATCTATATATCTGTAGTTATCTGTAGTTATCTATTTGGTCAAGTGTCATGTGTAGTTTCTGGATCTCCTTGATGATTTTTTGCCTTGATGATCTATCTAGGGCTGTTAGTGGGGTATTCAAGTCCCCTGCTATAATAGTGTTAGAGTCAATATCATTTTTTAGTTTTCTTGTAGTTGCTTTATAAACGCTGGTGTTCCTGTGTTGGTTGCATATATGTTTAGAATGGATATTTCTTGTTGATGGAGTAAACCTTTTATCATTATGTAGTGTCCTTTTGCATCTTTTAAAATTTTTGATAGCTTAAAGGTTGTTTTGTCTGATACTAAGATTGTGACTCCTGCCTTATTTTGTGATCCATTTGCCTAGAAACTTGTCTTCTGATCTTTAACTTTGAGTCTGTGTGCATCCTTTGTGTTGAGATGAATTTCCTGGATGCAGCAAATACTTGGGTCAGGTTTCTTATTCAGTTTGCCTTTCTGTGTCTTTTCAGTGTTCCATTTAGTCTATTCACATTCAGGCTGGTTATTGAAATGTGATTGTTTATCCCTGTCTTGAGGTTCTTATAACGTTTTCTCTTTTTTTACTTGTTTTCTTCTGGCTTTGGGGTTGATGTATGTGTGTGTTTTCAAGTTTCTTGTTGCACTGTATTCTCTGTTGTTTCTGTGTTCTGCTGTTCTCTTGGGGAGTGTGTGGTCATTCTTTTTTTTCTTTCTTCTGTGCTTAATTCCTTTTTAAGTGTCTCCTGTAGAGGTGGTCTGGAAGCTGCATAAACTCTTAGGGATTGGATGTCTGGGAAGGATTTTACTTTTTCATCATTGGTGAAGCTGAGCTTGCTGGGTAGGAAATTCTTGGTTGAAATTGTTTATCTTTGAGGACTTTGAATGTAGGACTCCAGTCCCTTCTTGCTTGTAGTGTTTCTGTCAATAGGTCTGCTGCTATTCCGATTGGTTTTCCCCAGTAGGTAGTCTGACCTTTCTCTCTTGCTGCCCTAAGGATTTTTTCTTTAGTGCATACTTTGTGTAGGCGAATTACTATGTGAATAGGGGCTAGTCTTCTTGTTTGATGTCTTGTGGGGGTTTTCTGTATCTCTTGTGCTTGGCTGGTCACATCTCTGGTGAGATGCTACAAGTTTTCTCTATTTCTCTTTCTTCTTCTGGGATACAATCAGGTGTAGGTTGGCCTCTTGATATAATCGTATGTCTCTTGTAGGCTTTGTTGTTTCTTTCTGAGTCTTCTTTCTATGTTTTTTACAGTTGGATTAATTCCATGTTCTTGTCTTCAAGTTCTGAGATTCTTTCTTCAGCTAGATTAATTCTGCTTTCCATGCTTGTCATCTTGCTGTTTATTTCCTGGATGAAATTTTTTTATTGCCAAATCTCTGTTACGAGTTCTTTCAGTGTTGCATCTTTTCTTTCTTGAGTCTTATTCACTCTTTCATCCATTCCCTAATCCCTGTTGTATTCTGGGGCCAGTCGTTGGTGAGTTCCATTGTTTGGGTACCAAGGTCTGATTTTTCAGGTGTTTTGTCTTTGATACACTTGAAATTGCCTGTGGTCTTCCTTTGTTGTTTTTTTCTCATTTGTGAAAGATCTCTTGTTTTTCTCTTTAGTTCTGTTATTCAGTGTCAGTGGGAGAGGCTTTCCCTTCTGATGTTTGCTCAGTCCTCTATTCTTCTCTGATCTAGGCTCTGGATTTATTCTGTTTTGAAATAGGATGGTGGATGGGAAGCTTTGCTGTCTCTTGTAGTTTTTGAAAGTCGAATAAAGTAGGGGATGGGGCACTAGGATTCAGAAACTACTTGCAAATTGCAATATTCACCTATTGTGGTATGTGTTCCCTGAGACCCACTCCCCACCACCACTCTCTATGATGAGGCAAAGCAGAAACCATTGCAAACAACAACTGAACACACACACACACTGAGACATACACACACAGCCCAAAACAAACTGGAATAACAACAAAATGAAACAAAACAAACAACAAAAAAACCTAAGAAAACTAAGCACACACACACACATGCCTAGCACAAAGTG